CTCTTTGTAACTTCCTCAACGTCCCTCCTCATGATATGTCCATACCACCGTAACCTCGCCTCTCGCATCTTCTCAACCACATCCACCACCCTACAGTACATCGTCTACAGATTTCTTCATTTCTGATCTTATCCTTCATTGAAATCTGCAGACATTTACTGTAAATGCAAAATTGTCTGTTTAGATTTAAAAAATGAGAACGGAACAGTTTTGGTTGAAAATGAAACACCTTCTGCAAACAATACATTCATTTTTCTCCTGTGCTATCACATTGCAGAATCATCCAACTGAACTGATGCTCTGAATTACAAAACTTGAATTGTCTTGATGGTGAACTGCAGACCCCCTTCTATTAACGGGAGACCCAAAACCGTCTAATTTTCTCCTGATATTCAAGGCCACAGAATCAGGGAGCCACTGATCTCAGGTACTGCACCTGTATGTCCATGTCCAGTCTGTAATTGAGGTCCCCAAACCAGAAGAGATGAGTGAATTTCAGTGAAATATCAAAGGAGCTGAGCTGTTTGTCTCCCAAGGACAGGAGCCGGAGGATGTCAAGGTAATTCTGGTTTCGTCTGGGGACAAAAAAAGCAACACTTACATTGTTACTACTAAACACAGCTTATTATATATTTTCATTCTTATAACTGATTGATGGGTGCGATTTGCTAACCTTTAAAAAAGTGCTGGCATTGGTAACGTATGATGTGCAAACTATCACAATTGTTAACATAAACCCACTCAATGGAAGGAATGAGCAGTGTTACCTGGCAACCTTTTCATTGCCCGAGGTCAGGTGGCAATTGACAAATCCAAAGGATGTTCCATTGAACATGAAGGAAACACCGACAGCACCTTTGTTACCTAGTGAGAGAGTGAGACGACAATTACCATATCAAGCCTGGAGGCACAACTTCTAAGCAATAACACTCCGCCTATGCCCCACAGCAGTACTTTGTTGCAACCAGCTCTTTAACTTTTTATTTTTCAAAACAGCAGACTGGAGGGGCAGCGGGTTAAGTATTGCTGATTTAAAGTAACACAAGTACCAACGTATGGAAAGATTGAGCCTTTACACACTTTATGTAGAAACACTTACAGGAACCCCTTTTAGGATCTCCACTTTACAAGAGGAAAAAAGGGCATTATTCTTCTGACTAATCTTTTGTGAAGGTAAAGTCATAATACATTAAAAAGGGAGAAACAACCTTACCCAAAGGCAAATAAATTTGTATAAATTACTTGTGTTCAGGTCTCTTCATTCTTGGTAATTATATACTAATTGCCTACCCCATTTACTGTAAATAGTAATTAAAAATCTTCATTACCCTCCAGGTTTCAGATGTTATTTTAACTATAATAATTTTAATCATAGAACTTGAGATTATTGTACACTAGATACATCTATTTTCTTTTGGAAAGAATATTTGCCTGGCTGTTTTATTTAGCTGCTGGCAAAAATAAATCCACAAGCAGAATCCACTTATGATGTAAAGTGAAAAGTACCCAAATAATTAACAAACCTTTGGTAAACAGGGAAAGAGAATCAACCAAAGGTAAGCTTCAAGGGACATCTTGTGGTTTAATACAAAAGTCAAAAGAGAAGAACCGATACTGATATTCTACTATAAAGTCACTGTGTCGACTATATTGTTATTACAAGTCACATAACATGCAATTATCTATTTTGAAAAGTATGCTGCACTCACACACATCTGCTTCCATCAAATTTTAACTACAGGAGCAGGCCTAACTCAGAATTGTAAGATTAAAAATCCTAGAAAAAACAATTCTTCCTATGACTACAAATGTCTGAGCAGTGTCCGGGCTGACTCAGAGGAGTACTGTGGAAGTGCACCAGGAAGAATATACAGCAGTCTGCATGTACCTGCATGAGTAGGAATTATAAGGAATTCTGGAGCTTGTTGGGACAGAGGGCAATAACCAGTGGTCCAGAAGCAGTTATTGAGCTCAACTTTTCAAAAACATGCTGAGCTCTCTCAGCAATAAAGGTAAGAGGCTGTGGGGGAAAAAAAAATGCTGCTCTGTGTTAACAGAGACTGTTTAGCATACTGTATGTCATTTTAGAAATTGTGGGTGACAGTACTCAACTATGTACTGTTTAGTAGTTGTACTGACAAGATATTGAAAAAAAGTTGCTTTTGCATTTACTTTTGCATTCATTTTAGAGAGCTTAGGTGATGTTGTTTACCTGTTCGATGTCATTACATTAAGCCTGTAATGTTTCGGCAAGGCATGGCTCGAGCTGTCACAAATGGAAAATTTCCCATAGTAAAATTTACAGCAGGTCGGTCACAGAGGTCTGCTGTTACCATGGAGCTCCTGCCTGTGGTCTCAGCTGGTTCAAGCCGGAACTTACCCAGCGTGTTGGCAATCCCAGTCTTAACGCTGGACATGCCCACATGGCTGATCCGGTTCTCATGTTCTGGTTTCACAAGGACAGCAATCTTTATATTCCATAGTGTCTGAATAGCAATCTGAGGAGAAAAAAATAATTGAAAGATTTAACACAGGAAAAAGTCTCAATTAAAACAGCAGTGTCTAATACAGTTCTTTAGAAAATGATTTGGGGAAAAAAGTTTTTGTGCTCAAAAAGCTGATTTTGGTCCTATTCAATGATTCATACAGCCCAAAACAGAAATCATATTCAGCGTAGACAGCTCCTAATGGAATACAGAAATACAGAAGACTATTAACAAAGACTGTTTTAGCTGAGAGCGTAGCCACCAAGATAGAGTTGCTTTAAAATAGATAAACTGTTAAAATTTAAATGATCGCCAACATTCACAAGATCTACTAAAGCAATTACCTTTTTCAGGGACAACACCTTGTTTTAGCTCCTTATGTTAAATTAATTTCCAAGGTATTTCATTCACAAATTCAAATGAGTCTCAATTACATCTCTCTTCTTTAACAATCAGTTTAGAAGAGAAAAGGCAAAGCTATTTAGCAGTGGGTTTCTTTTGCCTTCATCAGTTTCTAACAACTTGGCACTGTGTGAAGTGTGGTGTCTGATACCACCGCACTGCACAAAGTCCATCTCACTCACTGGTTTGAAGTCCATCTCCGTGCACTCCTTGAGCACCCCACGCAGGGTCTCCACCCACTCCTTGTCGCAGACGGAGTTCTCCTGAGTGCCGAAGACATAGATGTCGTGAGGGATGGTGACCGTCATCTCATCCAGCGTCTTCCCCAGGCCCCGTGACAGAATCCAGGAGCTCATGCTCTTGGGAGGAGGTACACTGCCTGGAATAGAAGAGAGCACCACAGTGTCCCTCTCAGCTAGGTCCGATTTTCACATGTAATCTAATAACCTGGGACTAATGCAATAACGACTCATTTATACTTTTCAGACCCATTTTAATCTCTGTAACCTGTAATAATAGGTTAAATATTGCATTGATGTTTGATTTGCAATGAACATTAATTTATCATTAAAAACAAAACAATAAAACAAACCTTTTTCTGAGTATTAAGTGCTAAATATTAAAACGGTGCCCTTGATGAGATGAGATGAAATGAGATGCATTCTAGTTGAGACACATTTTAATTTACACCTCTGCAAAAACAGGTGGTATTGCAAATGACTGGATACATACCCATATTCCATGTCCCAATGAAAATGGATATCATGTCTGGCTCATCTTGATTGGAATGTTTATTCTTCATGAGTTGTAGAAGCTGGCAAAAGGCTTCCCTTTTCTGATGAAATGGACAGACGAAGAAGAGGACATTAACCTTTTCGTGGGTTTGCCTTAGTGTACCAAAGTGCCATGCTGAGGCATCCCCTTACCTTGGCACTGGCGAAGATGAAGTCCTTCCTTTGGCTCTTGTCCTTCTCCTTCTCAAACACGATGCCCAGCTTATTCTGTACCCGCTGGGATTTGATCAGCTGCCGAACTACAGAGATAATTGTTCACAGAGGTTAGGGTGGCGAACACCATATACTGTGGGGGTGATATAGCCAGCAGCTGTATTACCCTGCGACTCACAACTGGCAGCCCACTGAAGCTGATCAGAAGGCCAGCACATGGATGGGAGACCTCCTGGGAAAACTAATGTTTCCACTGGAAGAGGTGTTATTGGGACCAATAGGGAAAACTCACCCTGTGGGTTGTGTGGGTCCTAATGCCCCAGTATAGTGACGGGGACACTATACTGTAAAAGAGCGCCGTCTTTCGAAGGAGATGTAAAACCCGAGGTCCTGACTCAGGCATTAAAAATCAGAGTATTTCTCAAAAAAAAGTAGTGGTGCTAACCCCAGTGTCCCAGATAAATTTCCTCCTTGGCAGTCATAATGTCCTAATAATAATGTCCAACTATCAGTTGGCTACATTACTAATGCGTGGTGAGTGTACTGGTGAAATTTGGCTACCTTCGCATCACCCAGGTGGGTGCTGCACATTGGTGGTGGTGGTGGAGGGGAGTTCCCATCACCTGTGAAGCGTTTTGAGTGGAGTGTCCAGAAAAGCGCTACTGTATATACGTGTAAGGGATTATTATTACCATGTGCCATTAGAGACAAGCTTGTATCTGAACCATTCCTTGATCTTTTGTTTAACTGCTTTAAATGCTTGACATTTCTTTTATTTAAGCTGAGCAGTCTTTTTATGGCGGGTGAAGGGTGTGTCTGCAGGTCTTACTCTTATCGTGAGTGAAGGTGTTCCAGTCCTCCTGAGAGTCCTTCACCTTCTTCATGACCACCAGCTTGCCTCCCTCCACATCCACGCTCAGCGTGTGCTTCTGGGATTTGCCGATCTTGGTGAGGTCTGCCAGATTGACATCCAGCTTCACCTGGCAGGTCAACAGCACAACCAGACGTCTCAAAGTCAACCCAGGACCCCCTCCAACAAAATTACAACCTCGCCCACACAGGCTATGATTACAACAATGAATATGCCAGGATGACATCTCTTTTCACCCAACAACGCTCTTGCTACAAATCATTCAAAACAGCTTTCTGCAATCTGCAACCTGCACACACTGTATGGGACTCGAAATGAAATGAACACAGGCAGCCACGAAACTCTCAAAAGTTATATTAGCAATTTCTACAACATGGATAAAAATTGATGACTTTAAAAATTTGGTAAAATCGCTAGCATATCTGGTGCATTGTTTTTTCAGGTCATTTTTTCATTTCTATCATCTGGTTTTCAAATATCACTGAATCAGTACGGAAACGCATTGCTGGCAACAAGGAAAAAATGTTTTGCCCACTTATCTCGTAACTACGAGAAAATTATCTTGTGATATTACAATTGTCATATAATACCTATAATGTCAGTATGTGCGGACTTACAGTTTTAATCAGTGGAACCACCATTTCTTTGATCTCTAAATGACACAAAACTGGTCCTCATGCCTATTATGATTCTGTTCATATTTCCTAAAAATTGCAAGATTTCATTATGACTAAACCCCAATCAAAAGTAAATCGGTACAAATTCTGCAGCGCTGGATATCGATGCGATCATTAAACCGAAAGTTCCAGCCAAGTTCACGGTAGCTTTTACATGTGCTCAATGCACAACGCAACGGGTTGTACATACACTGAAGTAATTATTGCTATCTCATAATTACGAGATAAGGGGGGCATATTTTTTGTCCTTGGTGGCAGCAATGCGCTTCCATAAATCAGAGAAGGATTTTCAGTGTAAGTTCATTTAAAAGTTAACCAACAGGGGGAAGTAAAAGCCCAATCAGATGTTCACAGCTTTCCACTAGCTTGCTAGATAACAGCTGTTCTTTTTCTGGAAGCACATAGACTAAAAATAGCATGTCGTTCAAACACGAAGGAATGATCTCATCATCCTGTGAAACCTTGTTATTTTTCTAAAAAAAAACAACAGATCCACTCAGATTCTCCCTCATCACTGAGAAATGGACCAGAACCAGTTTTCACCTCGTCATGTCTGCATGCACTCACTCTCCCACCACACACACTTCTCTCTCACAGAGGAAATGACTAGCAATGGAAGAGCTCGCCAACACTAACACTAAGCTTACAAATAAAGAAACAAACAATTTCACAGCAGCACGACA